GGCATGGCTGTGCATACCAAGGCAGTTGACAATGTTAAACGTATGCCAATTTCTCCACCATCCTATCCCTTCTTAATTTTACAAACATTCAAAATAGGAAATTAAGTTTGTTGTGGATTTTTTATTTTTTTTATTCCATGGAAACATGTTCAACAAGTATATTTATACCATCCCTCATCTTGTCCAATCTGTAAAGGAGTAGGCGTGCAATCTGCTTAGTTTACATAAGTACAATCTGAGCTTTGGTGAGAAGTTATTTGTATATAGAACAATACCTCAAGAAGTTTATTTCTAACTTTTCTTTTGTTGTGTGCTCAAAGTCCACAAATACTTCTTGAAATCTGAGGACAAGTGTAAACACAAAATCAGATGAGTTCAATTGAACCTCTTTGTAAGCTTTTGGTTGGCAATAAGACGGCTCACTGCTATGTGCAGAACCTACTGCAGGACTCACTTGATCATAAACCTTTTGTAAACCACAAACTACGATGTCTAAACTAGATCCTAACTCACTTCTTAGAGCCTTACTTGCTAGCTTGCTGCTCACCGAACTGAAAGTGTGGAATTTAGTTAACAACTCTTTAGAACTTTCACTTGACATCAGATCTTCCTCCATACGTATCTTTTCATTCAAATTCTCCTCAGCACTAACCTGTCTATCATTATGTAACTTGTTAGCAAAGAGCATGCCTTTTGGGAATTTGTCATGAGTCCCAGAATCAGCTTCGCTAAACAGGTCAAATGCATCTCTCAAGCGTTGTGGTTCTATAGATTCATTTAGTGTTGTGGAATTTGTCATTAAGTTATGGTTCTTGTCATTTAGATTGTTATTCATTTTGGTTTCTATAGATTCATTTATGTTAATGATATCATGATTGTAATTAAATCCAATAAGGATTTCTGTCAGATTAATTTGCCCAACAAGTGTTGTTACATGTTAATGAGAACTGTCTTTTATAACATTCGCAGTTCAAGAACACTCTAATAAACACAAAACGAATTTCAAATCTTATTAGACATGCTAGTTTTTCAATATTAAAGAACAATCAAATCAAAAACCCCATACTGAAGACATAAAAAAGACAAAACTTGAATTAACAAATGTAGATTCATTCATGGTCTCTTCATTTCCTCTCCTATTTCAGTTTCCAATTAATCATAAAGATGTGTCAAAATCAAAGAAAGGTTGTCCTGGCTGCAGCTCCAAATCGCCTTCTTCTCATGTTACCCTTACGTTTCTTGTACACGAATCCACCAAACCCAATCAGTCCTGCTCCTATCAGCACTCCAAACACTATCCCTGCCTTCTGCCCACCACTTAGTCCTCTTGAAGACCCTTCCTTATTGGGAGGTGGTGGTGATGGTGGTGAAGGTGATAGTGGTGGTTTATAGGGTGCAGGTGCGCCCCATGGTGAGAGACTAATGTGGTTATAAGAGGTTACAAAGTTAACAAAAAGGACCAAAACTAGAACAGAATAGGAACATAGGTGAAGTAGTGTGGCCATGAGAACTTTTGATGATACATAAACAATCAAGACCTTGAAATGCATGTTTATATATGCACAATGTATAGCCGTTTATCCTTCACTTAAACAGAAAAAGACAAGAACTAGACAGCAAACAAACCTTTCGAAAGCTTCAAGATAAAATCAATGACGAGAGCTAATTGCCAGCTTAGTTTTGGTTTGCTCTTTGGGCTCCTCAAAACATAGTATTGTTCGCCAGCCTATTGAGGAATGATGTTTCCTTTTTTTGTTTTCTTCTTTTTCCCTTGTTGGTTTCCCACTTGTCTTCTCCTGCAGCCTTGTGTTTCTGTTTGTTTTGGTTGACTTCGTTTATTTTTCCTCAGCTAAAACAACATAGATAACAAACTAGATCCATTTCTGTAAGCACATTTTATCTTTTTCTTCAATACAAAATAAAAGGATGATAGGCAGAACATGGTTTCACGCACATGTCAATTTTTAGATGTATTGACAGCTCCAGTTAGTTCTTTATTGATCAACTGTAAGATGTCCGAGACCTGCAAGAAAATCGAGTAACTATAAACTATGATAAACAATTCACATTTCAGAGTAAAACAGAAGGTTGCGTACAACAGAAAGGATTAAGCATCACTAAACACAGCACCTTGACACGAGAAATGTGAAAAGAAAACATTGCTTACCTCAAAATACTGCTGCAGAACCAGCGAATGATGACACAATATGGTGTAAATTTTCTCAAGAAGGCCTGCAAGAACATCCACTTGATCACCCAGAAGATCCACCTATATATGACACACATCAAAATTCCAACCAACATATAAACTCAATATGATTAGTTCACAAAGCCAAAAAGTTATCGTTGCAGCGCATAACCTCAGTCTCAGCCTTCCACAGATCTTGACATCTCCTAGTAAAAGCGTTCCTATAAAGTGATTCTTTTTTTCTCAAGGTGGAAACATGTTCAACAAGTATATTTATACCATCCCTCATCTTGTCCAATCTGTAAAGGAGTAGGCATGCAGTCTGCTTAGTTTACAGAAGTACAATCTAAGCTTTGGTGAGAAATTATTTGTATATAGAACAATACCTCAAGAAGTTTATTTCTAACTTTTCTTTTGATGTGTGCTCATGGTCCACCAACACTTCTTGAAATCTGAGGACAGGTGTAAACACAGAATCAGGTGGGTTCAATTGAACCTCTTTGTTTGTTTTTGGTTGGCAATAAGACGGCTCACTGCTATGTGCAGAACCTACTGCAGGACTCACTTGATCATAAACCTTTTGTAAACCACCAACTACGATGTCTAAACTAGATCCTAACTCACTTCCTAGAGCCTTACTTGCTAGCTTGCTGCTCACCGAACTGAAAGTGTGGAATTTAGTTAACAACCCTTTAGAACTTTCACTTGACATCAGATCTTCCTCCGTACCTATCTTTTCATTCAAATTCTCCTCTGCACCGACCTGTCTATCATTCTGTAACTTGTTAGCAAAGAGCATGCCTTTTGGGAATTTGTCATGAGTCCTAGAATCAGCTTCGCTAAACAGGTCAAATGCATCTCTCAATACCTCAACCATGACAAATTGAAAAATTTCTTCCTTACTGAGACTCTCCATCTTCCATTCCTTGATCGTTTCTCTGATGAAAACCATACAGATATCCTCCCTCACAAAACTTTCTGTGATCTGAAGAAACTCCCTGGTAACAATATCTTGATATTGAGCCAATGGATCACCGGCAGTTTTTACAAACTCTTTGATTGTCTCATTACAAATAAGCCAGTCTACCTCTTCTCTAAGAAGGCTCTCAGTTTCACTACCGTATATGCATTCATTCCACTCCTTGAGCATTTCATGCAAAAGGGTCCAGCATACATCCTCTCTTATTGTTCCTTCCAAGTAACAGAACTTGTCTGAGAATGCTGAGTCGTTCAAAGAATTATTTTCAACCCTCAAATCCTGACACTCTACTAATGCAAAGTTACCATTTGAGCTATAATCCTTGATTGCCTCACGGAGGACGGTGCAATATATCTCTTCTCTGGTTCGAGATTCAATGTTGTTACCTTTAATATTCTCCATCCATTGATTGACCACTTCTGTAAGGAGAAGATTACATATGTCCTTCCAAATCAGGTTCTCTAACTCAAAATCATGTAATTCAATGCGATTCTCTTTTATTAAACTTTCAAGAAGAGTAACATAGGTCCTTTCCATTATCACAGATTTCAAATTTTCTTCTTCTTGGTCTTGTTTCAGCCTGCTGCCTTCATTTTGTAGCTCTTCATTTATTGCGTAAGGTACTTTATCCATCTTCTTCCATACATCTTCCAAAGTATCAAGTTCCAAATTGTCAATATGATTTGCATCAGATTTCAGGAACCTCTCCTCTGAAAGAGTTTCTTCCTCATGATTACACTCATAATTACCAAAAGTTTCATTAAGCTTAACATCCCAATCTCTTAATTTGTCTAGTTTTAAAATAATTTCCTGGACCCTTCTTTTCAAGCTGTTTTCTTGCATCCCAATCTCTTCTCTCCTGCTAGACAAATTCCCTTTCTGTCGAAGAATTTCTCGCTTCAGCAAATTCAGCTCTTCTACCTCTGCACTTTTCTTCCGGATGATGGATTCATGATTCTTTATCATCTTGGAAACAAAGTGGCCTCCATCCTCTCCCCTTTCCTCTTCATGGACTTCTTGCATAACCTCTTCAGCCTTTAAAGACAGCTGATATTCAGGCTTTCCATGATTAAAATCTTCTGGTGAATGCTTTTCATTTGTTCTGTTTGAAACTTTGCCTCCAAGGCTTGTTTGCAATGGATCAGTACTCTTCACTTGCACCACCTCATTATCACCAACGAAAGAATCTAGTTCATGGCCCAAGTTCACAACCTCATCCATCAAATCATACCAGTACTCCTTCAAGCCAAGACAAACGTGCTCCTCTTCCTTCCACACTCGTGCTTCAACAGTTTCTTGGAAATCACTCATGAACCCTTGAAGCAAAGCAGACATTGTGTCTTTCTCAACATCCCATCTCCATTGCTGCTCAATTGGCCCAACCTCAGACCTGAAAATGGCATTCTGCATTTTCCCAAAAGCAAGATCCAAAGTTTCTTTCAAAATCCCCATGTCTGAACCCATCTGCTCAATCTTTTTGTTGTTGATCCCTTCAACGACTTCTGAATTTCCTTCCTTATCTTTGAACCTGTAATCAGGCTGAAGCTTCTGTCTGATATTCAAAACCTGCTGATCCACTGAATTCTTCAACTCACAAAAAAGTTCATTATCTCTATCATCATCATCATCCTCCTCATCATCCCCACCCATCCTATTGCTAAAAATGTATTCTTCAACAGGCTCACTCTTCGTTCTTCTTTCAAGCTTGAGATTCGCTGTGCTGGAACGCAGCGAAGCCAATTCTCTATCCTTGGCCATGATTGCCATCTCAGACTCCTTGAGGCGCCCTTGAAGGCGGTTTCGAATCTCAGTCAAGTCTGTCAGCACCTGCTCATGGCTGCTCTCAAGAATGCAGCTGTCGGTCTCTTGCCGAACAAACTTCAAACACCCTTCCAGCTGCATGACAGCCAACTCATAGAATCTGGATATCTCATTCAAGCGCTGAAGAACACCTTCTTTGCTCTGCATCTTCTCATGCGCATTGTTCATTGCTTGGTGCACGATCCGCATCATGGTTGAATCCATTGTGTCTCAGTTTGGTATGTTTCAATCAACAAGCAACTACAAATAAAAAGCAAAACAAGAATCTCATCTGCTATGGTGGAAACAAAGAATTACTAGCAGAAACCAGTCTCTATTTTCTCGTAATTGCCCAAGAAATGTGGGTTATTTGTTGTATGATATGATGACCTATTCTAAGGTATCATTTTCATTCTCTTCAATTTTTATTCTCATATTCATAATCTTTTAGTTTGGAAAATTGCATTATTTATTTTTATTTATTTTTTGGTATGAATCATAAGGGTGGGTGGTTGAACAATTTAAGAATGTCACACATATTTGCTTTATCATATTAATTCTATATGAATTAATAATTTTTATTTAAACTTCAAGTGACATGGCATGCTTCCATTGGCTGCTTATGCTGCTTCTTCCTTCTCTGTTCCAACTAAGTTTAACTTAACACAGTGATCACATCACTAAAACCTTATTAACCTATAGACTAGACTAGGCAGCACCACCGCTCGCGACGGCAGCGGGGGAGGCGCGTTCAGCTCGAGCACGAAGCCACGCCACCATTTCGCCGAACACCAAGTCGACGTCCTCCTGGGTTTCACCAACCAGCTGGTGCCACATGCCCTCGTGGATCCTCAGCGTCTTGTCCTTGCTCGACGCGCGGTGGACGATCAGCAGCGGTACCTCCACCTCCTCGAACCTCGCCTGAAGCTCCTTGCACACCCTCAGCAGCTCAAGCGCCGTCGCCGCCCGCGGCCTCGCCACCGTCCTCCTCGGGCTCGCCAGCGCCAGGCTTCGCTTCAACTCCACCTTGCACGCCAGGGCCCGGCGCGAGCAGGTGCTCAAGCGGCCACGGCGGCTTGATCTTGGCGCTGATCCCGCACATGGCGCCGTTGAGGATGAGGCCGTTCCACGCGCCACTCCCTTGTCTGAGCGTGATGAGTAGGGCTATCGCGCCGCCGAGGGACTCGGCGTAGAGGAAGGCGGGGAGGTTGGGCGGCGCGTGGCGGGCGCGGAAGGAGTCGAAAAAGGAGATGCAGTCATCGACGACGGGGTTGATGTCGGGAATGTGGGCGACGAGGCCGTCGGAGAAGCCGTGGCCCTGGTGGTCGATGGCACAGACGGCGAAGCCGGACTTGGCGAAGTGGACGGCGGTGAGCTGGACGAACCAGCTGGTCTCGCCGGTGTAGCCGTGGACGATGGCTAGAGTTCCGACAACAGGAGTGGGAGGGAGTGGGGTCCACCACTGGGTGAAGAGCTTGAGGCCTCTGGGATTCGTGATGTACTCGGAGGCGTGAGAGACTTTGTGGCGGGAATAGAAGGCGTCAGGGGTCAAAGAGCCGAAGGGGCTTTGGTCGTTCGCCCCCGCAATTGGGTGCGCCATTTTGTAACTATGGTTTGGTGAAATGCGCCGGGTGGTGAAAGTATCCAAAGACACTGGAAAAGCGTGGAGGGGGAAGTCGTTGGAGTTACTTATTGCTGCTTTGGTTTGGGTGGTTTTGGTAGTTGGGGATGGATTGGGTGTGAATATTAAATGGGGGTGGGCATGCAAATTGCAATTGGACCAAATAAACCAACCCAATACCCAAATCTTTGATCTCTGTCTCTGTCTATAAATCAAGAGCAGCCTCTACAATTACCATGTACGAGCTGGACTTATACCGAATTTTCTATTTTTAGGGCAATCAATAGCCTCTAAACTAGACAAACTATAAAAACTTCGTATTTATCGCCCATTTACCCTCGTATTTAATTACATAACCAATGGGGTGTTGCCACATGTCTTCCTTCCATCTTCGCTCTTCCCTTCATTATACTCTTTGTCTTGTGAGGGAGAGAGAGAGAGGTGGTACAGTGGACTGCACCCAATCTCGCAGAGCTCAATCAAGCTATCAAATGGTATTTGTCAAAATTGCAAGAAATAGCTCGACCTAACTTTATTCATAGCAATATAGCATGTAGTGAGGAGCGGGGTAATTAGGCATCCACCCATCAATATACAAGTCCAGACATACTACACCATACTTGAAACAAGAACTAAAATTTTCCTTGAATCATCTTTGTCTGAACAATGAAGATTGACGTTCTATTAGTGTAGACTGTACATATCAGACTAAACAAAGAAAAAAAGACTACATAATATTTTCCTTGAAATTCAATTCCTAAATTCTTGTCATCAGAAGACAGGATCAGCATCTTCCCCTGCACAAGCTGAAACAAGAAAACCCTCATATCAGAATCATGACCAATTTTTTCTGATCAAGTCAAGAAAATGCGACTTAACAGTGCCTGTTGTAAGATGAAGAGACATGTAAGGCAAACTGAAACATATTAGTGTATGATCTCAAAGACAACTGCTGGGAATAAAAGTGGGCATGAGAAGGCATCACCAACCCGAATGTAATGGGTGTATGATTATATTAGCTAAAGAGATCATCCTCTAGTATATTATCAGCATGAAACTGATTAACCTGATCACTGGCTCGCTGTCACAACTCTGCCAATACTATGATATCTTCACAGAAAACCCCCCCCACCTACAAAGCAGTCTTTCCATGACATGCAGACTTAGAGAAGCATGCATATGATGCTCCAATCATTACAGCCTTTCAGAACTACTTTTGCCTGTTTCATTTACAACATCCTATCATATTAGGTAAAGGGTATCATTCATATTGTTTTCCAACCGCACCAAAGATATATCACTACATACTAGACAGACCATATCAATGTAGGCATCTTGGGTATTCAATCTTTGCATATATGCAGACATGCTTTAGAGCATAGATTAATGGGAACAGCAACAAGTTTCGTGAGAATATATGGATAGCCTTCCACTTTCTTGGGCACAACCACCCTAAGATTCATATCTAAACAGAAATCCAACCTATTCTAGTAGGCTAATACCTAAGATGGTTCTAGGTCCAGGACCATGATTCAGGTAGTGAAGAAGTGTGCAGAGTTCTATGTTCAAATATTTACAATTTATTTAATTCAAAAGTTCCTGATAGGATCCTTTGGGGATCCTTTGGGGATCCTTTGGGGTCAAAGGATTCGCCCCGTTCTCAGCTCAACAAGACAATTATAGATAATTCCCATGTTCAAGCATAATTAGCTGCACATGCCATCCTATATGAATCTTTAACCAGCTCTCCGTAGAAGCAAACAAACTACTCTTTTTTCTCTTTTTCCTTACCAGACACAAGAATCCTTGTCAAACTGCAACACCCACCTCTTACAGGCTCACAAAAGCAGGCAGAACTGTCTAACTGATAAATTCCTAGAACTAGAAGATTGGCCTTTGATCTTACTGGGTATTTCACCAATCACCTAATGATTAAACTACATGAAAAGGTATGAGAGAATTCCAGCAGCATCTTCTATTCAAACTAGAAATCAAACCATAAGAGCACTGCTTGAATCTGCAATACATTTTAGTTATAACGCAAGCAAGGTAGTTCCATTCCCCAAATCAAACACCCTATGTGATAGGGAAAAATGATTCAAATACCCATTCTACAGTTATGTGCTCAACAATAGCTTAGTATTAAGACATGTTTCTCACACAGCACATAACTAAGAGAATGTCACATTAAAGCCCCTAACCAAAGATTATTACAAGTTACAAATTTGATTGCTAAAGAATTTAACCCAATTTTTTAGAGACATGTTAAAACACTGGTCTCCAAAATTTGGCAAATACCCTACAAACCAATGGCACATATAATGAAAACTCATATCATAAAACTTCATTTCAAACACAAATTTTGAAACAAAAGCATGTGAAAGTACAAGGGTTTGAGATGAAACAAATTACCTCCACAGCAGAAACAACAGAAGCAACAGGAGAGAAGCATCAGGATCTCTCTGCAAAGTCCAAGGACCACTCCATGAGCCTTTGGATTGGGCACTTCCGCCACTTTTCCATTGACTTCACCTTCTTGGCTATTCGACTGTTGGACTCCGCCTTCTTGGCTATCTAACAGCTTCTGATTGACGGAAGCTGATGATTCTTTTTCGCTTTTCATTCTCTGGAGGTTCCATTCGAGCTTTCTCAGGTAAGCAAGCTTGAAGGAGTCTCTGATCGTCGCTGAGGGCCATAGATGCATCTCTTTCTCTCTCTTTTTTCGCGCGGTGATCTTCAAGAGACTAGAGAATGGAGAAGATTATTTCAACAAGAAGAAGAGGGACGTACTAATTCGGGACAAGTTCTTCTTCGAAACGGCGTCGTGTCTTTGATTATGGACTACGTTGAAATGAGAAGAAATGCCCACCGTCTCTAGAAACTTCGTGCGTGAGAAGACATGGGCTCTGTTTTTTATATTATTTGATTATGATTGTTTCTATTTGATTTAATGCAAAACCTACAAAATTCAATTACTTAGAAGTTGTGGGTTTTATTGGGTATGGTTGCATTGCATGTGTATGTTTTGGGTTTGGCTAGTTGGACTTGGAGTTGAAGTTGTGGGTTTGGGTGACATGCGTTGGGTTCCTGAGAATATAATTCTATAATGAGGGGCTTGTGGGAGAGGTTCAATGATTGGATGGTTGGATTAAGCCCCCGTTCAACTCTCTCACCCAAATCTCCTCATTATAGCATTTTCTGATAATTGTCTTTGGAAAGTGTTAAAATTTTTACAAGTGGCTTAGAGCATCTCCACCCACAAGGGCTAAGTCTAAGGCAAGGGCTGCAACTATTCACGTGAATAGTGTTAGCCTTTGCATTTGTGGTTCCACCCATGAGGGCAAAGTCTAAGGCAAGTCAAGGGCAAGAAAAAAAAAATATATGCAACAAAATATAAAATTGTTATGTATTTATAGGGAAAGTGAATAAAATTTTTGCTTGCTGACGTCAGCATAACACCAGCGCTGACGTCAGCGCCCTCGGGCTGAAGCCCAGGCGAAAGTTGCCCTTGGGCCTGCCCAGGCTGGTGGGACCCAGCCATTGCCCGAGCTCTTTTCTGTGCGCTGGAGGGGAGTTGGGCTGCCAGAGGGGGCCTTTTGCCCAAGTTTGGGTGAGCGCTGGACTTGCTCTTAGAGTGGTTTAAAAGCCACACCTGTTACCTATCACCCAATTTAATTGTTCACGCGTTAGGTGTTCAGTCACTCTCATCATTGTCAAATGAAAATTTTTCTTTAACAAATGAATTATTGAGTGAATGAGGCTTGAGGATGGTGTGTAGTGGCAAATGATCCACTAGTGTAGTGGTTTGGAGTAATTGCTCCCTCGCATAAGGTTCTGGGTTCGAGTCCTAACATCCATGTAGTGTGTGTGAGTTTAATATATTATCGCCCCTCTTAATTGGAAACTCATTATAAAAATTAAAATTATAAAAATAAAAACAAAAGTTAGAGGGTGATGACATATGCTAGAGAGTGGGTGTGTAGTAGTTATGCTCTAATTGCTTTTCTTCTGGGCAACTCCGTTCTCTTCCATGCTTAAAGCAAATAGTCGTTCTAAACTCACAATTGTCAAACTTGGAATCCACATATCTTCAAAGTTAAATTAAACAACACTGCTACAGTAAAACTTAGGCTGAAAATGTAGTACAGACAACGGAGACTGATTAGCTTAATTTGTGAAAATATAAGGATATATGGTGCATAAAACAAATCCTACGCATATATAATACATTTACATGCTAAGCAATTGATATTTGCCTAAATCACAAGTTCAAAACACCATGCCATCGCAGCTCCAAAACCAAAAGATTAGCCTTCTTCGAACTTGAACTTGAACTTGAACATACCCAGGTGGAACTTTGAACATATATATGAACATTTGATATGGTATCTCGAACAAGAATGCAGGTAGCTGAAGAAGATTACATGATGGTTGCAAAACCATAAGTCAAGGGGGAGAGACCAACGAGAGGAGGGAAGAGACCAACGGGAGGATTTTCATACCTGAAACTGTGGAATGCGGGTGTCCAAGGGCTCAAGAGAAACCCAAAATGAGTGAGAAGGAAGGAGACAAGGGTGGTGATGGGTGCCATATATGATAGAGAGTATGGTATGTTGTGATCACCCTTAATTTGTTGGAAAAAAATTGAAGTGTAGATATCTTAGTTGCTGAAATGGGGTTTTTTTATTAGGACTGATGAAGAGGAAGTGGCAGTTGTTGCTTGACTTTGAAGTATAGATAATATGCATGTCGTGCTATTGGAAGCAATCATAGAAGCGTGCACACCACTGCACCAATGCTTATAAAATATGCTTATTGAAATAGGTATGTCTATTAATGTGATATACGGTGGAATGCATTTGCGGATAACTAATTTTGTGTCTAAATGGTCGCTCGACTAGGTCAAAAATGAACTATCCATAAGCGTAGCTAATCGTAATATAGAAAAAGTATATGCATATATGCATGTAGCATATGTTTCTGATACGTTTCATCCATAGATTCTTACCACAAAGAATGAGAATTTTGGCATTTTGGCTAATCTTTTGTCTAAAGGGTGGTGTGAATAACGGTATATATATCTTATCTTCTACGTCATTTTTTGGCCTTTTGAGGAAGAGCTCTTGGATTGTAGCCAAGTCTCTAGCAAGAGATCCAATGGCAACTCGAACTCGAAGTGGGTGAGATCAGGGGAGGTAGGATAGGATAGGCTTTTTCAGCTAGCTAGCTCGCTTGACCCAGAAAACAGTCTTCTAGCTACTTAGGCCATGTTCAAAGTAGTTGGGTTCCAGCCTTTTCCAGCTGCATACGAAATGGAAGATATGGGCCAACTCCGATCATGTTTTACTTACCATGATTGGGAGAAATTATGAATCAGGAAAATTAGATAGGGAATCAAGGAATTGGAGTAGTTGGATCTCATTCTTGACTTTGGGGGTTTTTGATTAAAAAATTTAACATAAAATTCACATAAATTTTAACATTTTGGGGGCATTTGATTATAAATTTTAACATAAAATCCACATAAATTTTGATTCATAATGAATTAGTAAATACATAAATTTTTATTCATTATATGTTAGAAAACGCATAGAAGTCAAGAATTCCAATACACATGATAAGTAAACATTAGTGTGCTCAATACCCTCATCACTCATATTACTTATATCAAAGGTCTAAAATATTGATGGTTTCGGAAAAATCGGGAAACTATTGATATCGGTAAAATTTGAATAAAAACCACATAAATTGTAAGAAAAACTTGGAAATTTTTATTGAAACTTTGGAGGATATTTATTTAGGCAATTATCTATTATTTTATCACCAAAAAAAAATGGAAGAAAATTCATTGCATGATGGGTTTAAATGATTTAAGTTGATTAAACCTGACAAACAATGCGATTGTAGAAAATATGTAGTAATTAATGAAAGAAGATTAAACACGCCATAATCATTTATTTATAATGATTTATTACAATATTTTACACTTTATACATTGCATGGTAAGATATATGAGTGACTTAGTACCACATAGAATTCCTATGAGGTTCAATTTTTTTATTATCTTCATCATCTCTATGTATAAAGTAAGTGTATTGTGAAGAGTATTCATTAAATGATAAATTCTCAAAATAGTTTTGCATGTAGTTGTTAACATGTCATCCATATGGATCCAAGATTGGTTGATGTTGTCCATAAGCAAAATCATTTGAAGATTGAGTCTCGGATTATATTCATGAGCCGCTTAATTCCATCCCAAAAGACATGAGATATGAAGGTTAGGAAAAAGGATTGGTTTTGAGTTTAACCATGGTTACTATTTACCACTCCAATAGAATATGAAGTTATAGATAACGAGTAATCTTCTTTGCGTGAGTGTTGTTGCTTTTTTTGGTCCTTTTTTCCATTGCATGCACATATAATGTTATTTTCGATATTTATCGATATTATCGAAATATTTTGGCCAAATGTTGTTGAAGTGTGTAAGAAATTATCGACGTCGATATTTTTCGATATCATCCTCGATATTATTGATAATTATACGATACGTGTATGGATATATTCCAAAATATCCTAGACCCGAATAAACGATAATATCCTCAATATTTCGTTGATATTATCAATATTTTATACTTACTTATATCTAAAAATAGGAAGGAAAAAAAAAATGACGGTAACTAACTGATCAATCACACTGAATTACAAGCCCTCACATTTATCAATTGAACTTAGACAAAGCATATTGTTTCCACACAAAAAAAAAGCTTAAATAAGTATTCTTATTTGAGCAAGAAAATATTAAAAGATCCCCACATTCATGTTTTCGAGGTTCCATAAGCTACTAAATTCTCATATACTCTCATTGTTGTCGCAAGTATATAGAAAGAAAAAAAAAAGTTCGATATATTGTCTTGTCTAAGAAGGTATCATTATATAAAAACTTAAGAGTAGTTGGGCACAATTTGCGGAGAGATTGAGACAAATTTGGGATTTGATTGTGTTGTTGGGATAAGGGTTGAAACTTGAAAGTGGTTGTGTGTAGAAGGAAAGAGAAGCCAGCGAGGTCTAGTATTTTGGGCCAACAAACAAATGGAGCCGAGAGAGAGTCCATGCGGGAAGTATTAGGCTCCCAATGATTTGCAAGCTTATGCTTTGCACACATCTCAAACGTAAATGTTTATCTGATTATATATTGAGTTGTTATTATAAATATGATTTTAATTTGTTTTCAATACAAGCGATAATCTAAACCACAATGAGCTTCTTCACACACACTATGAAGGTGCTATGAGATTCGAACTTGAGACCAATAGTATGTAAATCAAGGTCCTGTTGGTGGTGTTATTATTATATTTACTTATTTTTTGGGTGCAAATTATTCTTTTGTGCAAGCTAATTGAGACATCATACAGCAAGCAGCAGTGACCAAATAAGTTTGAATTTTTCTTGAAAGCATGATGACTACAAAGAAGAAAGGAGGAGAGATGGAAATGAAAATGACATTTAAGTAAATTCGAAGGCAAGTGTTTGGAGAAACAGTAAGGGGTACAAAAAGCTCTCCCTTTTCAGCCTGACTATATCTACAAATTAATGGCCCTCTCAGCCCCTCTTTCTAAAGGAAATTGAGAGAGAGGAGCAAAAGAAACCTTCATACACACGCAGAAGCTAAAAGCACGAATAATAAATACTAGCCGTTATAACTTATTCTTTTCCAAATCCCATGATATATAGCCTTCTTCCATTGTTTCCCACCCAAACCATGACAAAGGAAGCATCTTCAATTCATGGAGTCTCTGAAAATATTCAAACATGGGGGTTGCTCCTGAATGATCCAAGGGCTTTGACAGCTCCTGCTCTCAAGA